GGTGCCTCTCTTTTATAGCCAATACAATCCTAGTCCCAATAGGAGCCTAGCCCTAATGGACTTAGGATTGCTGCAAATCTGGGACTCCCAGTGATATTAGGATAAACTCTCTAAGAGTCTTATCTTAATACAAACTGAAGTCTTCTCCCAATCTAGGACTCTTGTCCATATCCAAGTTGAGTTCCTTCTTCATTCTAGGACTCTTGTCCCTTATCCGCTTATATCGGATTTCGATATCTTCGGAGGCAACCTCGGCCTAGCCAAGATGACCTCGGCACAACGACCAAGACACGTGGCACCTCGGCTGACACATCGGCGTCACCTTACCACGTGTTGGTACTCAGAAAATATTTCCCCACAGTCATATATCTTACAAAAAATTCACATTAATCATTATATCACCTATGAAGAAAAAAAAATCAACAAATTAATTTAAATTCTGAAATTATAAACAAAAATATTTCAATGTATTGATATTATTGCTTAAACAAAAGACATGCTAATACACGAGCTTCTACAATTGACCATGACGCAATTTCATATTTTGAAATCATTGCATAATAAGCTCATTATTAATACTATCAAATACATCTTTCTCAATATATGTAACCAAACAATCATTCAACCATTGATCTCCTATTCAGTTACGCAATCAATTCTTTATGAATTTCATTGCTAAAAATGCTTTCTCCACTGTTGCAGTCGCAACTGGTAAAATCAATGCCAATTTCACAAGCAAATACACTAATGGATATACAATGTCTTTCTTTGTCTCTACCAACTTTCTAGTAAGGTCACCAATTCCTCTGAGTTCAGAAAATTCATTGCTCGAGCGCATGTCAACAATGTAGTTCTGAAGTTGATTATCAAGTGCCATGAGATCTACCGCAGAAAAATCAGATAGATAGAATTTAGCAAGATGGATTAACCTTTGCTTATCAAAAGCAAAAAATGAATTATTGGGTTTCAAGCATGCCACGCATAGAAGCAATTCTGTACTTGCCTCTGTAAACCGGTCGTTAAGCTCTTGAAGTTGCATATCTATAATAGTATAGAAGATAACAACATGGTAGTGGCATAAATTTGTGATTTCAAGAGCTTTGCGGCGTGACCTCCCACGAGCTACAAATCTATCATCAATGTTGGGGATAGGAATATCATGTTCGCCACAAAATAAATACACTTCTTCCAATAGGGATTCTCATTCATAATCTCTCATCATTTGCAATCGTTGCTTAGACACTTTAACTAATGTCATTGCATTTACAATATCTTGATCTTTTCTTTGTAGTGGTAATGACAACTCATGTGTGATCCATAATATATTTTTCATCAAGTGTAAATTGAAGACAAATTCAAAAGATTGCATTGAATCCATAAGAGAACGAGCTTCAACTCTTTGCTGGGCGTGTAAACCATCCTCTTTAACAACCTCAAGCACATCAATAACATATGGGAACATCAAAATCAAGTTTATAATTGTTCCATAATGTGATCCCCAATGTGTATCACCAATCTTTTTAAGATTAGTTTCTTGATTCAAACCTTGCCCAATGAAGAGTTCACCATTGTTCAATGCTTCAGCAACTTTAGTAGTGTAGACACCCCATTTTTGACCGCCCTTAAGACTTGGGTGCCTCCGATTGATCTCTCAATGATGAATTTATACGTTGGACAAACACTCAATTTCCTCAACAAGAAGCCTTAGTTTTAAGTCTGAGAAGCCTACAAACCTTGCACCACTTTTGGACCAAAACATTATTTTTCCAAGCTTGACCACCCATAGGCCCGCAGGCCAACTAGTGGCTGGCTGACCAGAAATTACTGGCCAGCCGTCCCCCTAGTGATCGGCCGACCAGTTATTCCGGTAGAACAGATATTTTGCTGCCAGCTGTGCCAGTTGTCCCCACAGGTGCATACACTACACTAGCTGTCTCTATACTGATATTTCCGAGATAGTAACATATTTTTCTATATATACTTGACTACCCCTCTTGAAATTAGGTTAGAAAAATTTTGTGAAGCAAAATTCTTGAAAAATATTTCTCTTTCTCTACCTTGTAACCTATATACCCCTTACCTAGACTCCCTAAAACAAATTTTTAGGGCTCTTTGCTGAGGTTATTGAGCTTGAATTTTAGCTCTTAATGGTGGGAATTTGTTGGTTTGAAACTCAAAGTGTTACTCCTCTTCAAGAGGTATAACCCCTAGCTCTTTTACACCACTTCTTTCCTATCTTTATTTGTTGTTTTTGGACTATTTTTTTCAACTGTTTTTATGGGTTAAAACTTATGGCTTAAAGCTATTAAAGGTAGAGGGGTTCATCACCCTTTTTTGAACCTTATTTCCCAAGCTTTTGCCCTTATGTTCCCATCTTTTTCTCAACTTTTTACCACTGTTTTTCAGAGGTTTTAGAGGCTGAAAATGTTGTTTTGAGGTCCCAAAAATGGACGGGTTAGCCACTTCTCCTTATGCTTGTTTATTAGCTCAATTGCTCTATTGTTTTAGCTAACTTTTTCAAGCTTTTCCTGTTATCCCCATCACTGTTTTTAGTTATTTTAGGACTGTTTTGGGTTGTTCATTTGGTTTATGCTTTGTATAGCATGCTTGTAGTATAGTTGTCCTTATAGGTTTGATGGTTTAGGCATTAGCTACCAACCTATTTGAGTTGATAGCATTTATTTCATACTTTTCATACTTGTGTTCACACATAATCATCTCTGCACTCTCCCTCCTTTCTTGGCTTTTTGTTACTTTGAGAGTTGTTTCAACCAAGTGTTGTGTAAGCTTAAGAAAGAGACCTTTCCATGCTTAATGGTTTAATCTCTTCGGAGGTTCATTGCCAAGGCATGACATCTCTCTCATGCCCAAAATAACTTTTTGTTTGACACTTCTCTCCATTGGTGGACTTAATGCTCGTTTTTGGACTAAAATAACTAAAGAATGGAAAGGTAATTAAAAGAAACAACAAAATTGGCGCTAAAATGGAACAAGATAATAAAATGGTTTGGGTTCAATCAGACATTAATTGAACCCATCGAGTCTTGAGTCATTTCATACTTTTAGTGATGAAAATGGTTCAAGATTCAAGGTCTACCACTTCCCTTGATCAATTTCATGATAAGGAGAAGGTCTATGAGTCTTTCATTATTATTTATTGAGATTTTGTCCCTTCATTCATAAGTCGTTATGCAATGAGTTTGCGTCGATTGATGCCTTGCGAATCAAGCCTACCCCTCATTTGATATGTTTGATGATAAGGAGAGGTAGGGTGGACAAACATCTCCTGAAAATACTCTGTTTGTGCTCTGTTTCTTTTTTGTTGTAGCAGGGGAGAACCCAAAACTAGTGGGCAGCCGGCCACCTCTCTATACAGCCGACCACTTTTACTGGCCGACCGGCCACCTCTTTTCAGCAAAGTAGTGTTTTTTTTTCCTTGCAAAACAAAGTAGAGGCTGGGGTAAAAATAGTTCAATTTTCGAACTACACAACAGAACCATTCTGGCAGCAGAACAGAGGCATTTTCGGGTGGAAATTTGCATTCATGCATGAGCCATCCCTCACTTCTCGGGGCCCATTTAAATCATGTTTTATAATAGTATGTTGTACCTAAGTAGTGGACTTGTAATAATTAATTAGTTAGGCCTATTTTGGGAAGTGGGTTACAAGCCATTTCCCAGCTTTTAACCCACTTTCCTCTCTCACAAAAAAGTCAAAAAAAGGCCAAAAAATAGCTTTTAACCATCTTTCCAAAACACCCCTTAGTTAATTAATTTCGTATTGTAACTAAGTAGTTAGTTTAATTCTAATTTGTATTAATTAGTTAGAATAGCTAGTTAATTTTTGTGTTGTAATTAATTAATTAGTTAGAATAGTTAGTTAATTTTTGTGTTGTAATTCATTAATTAGTTAGAATAGCTAGTTAAGTTTGCATTGTACTTAATTGATTAGTTAGGATAGCTAGTTGATTTTGGCGTTGTAATAATTAGTTAATTAGGACATTTATTCGGACCCTCCCGTGCGAGGGCGAAATTGTAATATTATGTATATCTTCCAACCCCCATTTCTTTCTCTCTTTTATTTACTTGCTTATGATGGATAGTGTAGAGCATCATGTTTCTTTTAGCATTTCCCATGATTTGCATCCATTTGTCTCGCATGCATAGCATTCGGTTTATCATTCTAACAACATTGTCATTTATTACTTTGTTGAATACGTGTGCCACCGCATGCTATCAAATTGATTCATATGACATATTAAAAACCGAACCTATTAATTGCATTCTTGCATGTATGGCATTAGGCACTTGCATATTAGAGCATGTATTTTTCTAACAATTTTGTTTCTTTTGGCTCGCCTCTGTTGAGTACTAGGTGGCATTCATGGCTTTAGCATATTGCATGAGTGTTAGTGTTACCATATCAAGCATAATACCATGAGGCTAAGTGCTTAAGTGATATACTTGTTTGATTGCCTGTAGATGAAGGCTAATTGCTTAAATTGGGATGGTTTGATTAATGTACATAAGAGCCCACTTTTTCAAAAAGACACTTATTCCAAACACTTTTTAAGATAAACATGAAATCAAAGTGTTTTAACTTTTGCAAATTAGTCTATATTTGTGTGCAACACATAGTAAAATTAGCCTAATAAATCGGAGGCCGATCTTTGATCGAGGGAGTAGGGTGCTCAATTCATGACCTTCCCTTCTCATATCTAAGTTCCCGAGCTGAGACACTTTGGTGATGACGGATAAGTGGCCTTTGGCACGAGTCTCGGGTTTCCTAAATTTCTCGAAAAATATTTAGATGGCGACTCTGTAATCTGGCAAAGTAGTCCATTTTTGGTATTTTGATTCAAAATCGATTTTCCAAAAGATTTGTCGGATTTGGACTCATTTGTGTTTATTTATTTCACATGGCATTTGTGAAATCAGATTCAGAACCACGAGATTCTGAACTGTAGGGCTATCATATCCGAAACGAGCACAAAAAGTAAGCTACAAGTAACTTGTGTCTCGAAGAATATCTCGTCTCTTACAAGACCCTCTAACAACATTCACCAAATTGGAAACCAAGCAAAAAACTTCAGTAACATCAATGTGATTTTTAGCATCGGCAATAAAAGTCAACTGAAGTTGATGAGCAAAATAATGAACATCATACGCTGACTTATTCTCCCTCAGAATTAAAGTTTTAAGACCATTGAATGCACATTGCATATTAGAAGCTCCATCATAACCTTGCCCACGTATTCTTGCTGAGCTCAATCCATGCCTAGAAAACAAAGACTCAATTGCGCCTTAAATGATAAAGTTGTGGTATCTGCTACATGTACAATACCAAGAAACCGCTCAGTAACAATACCCCTTTTATCTACATAATGCAGAACAGCAGCCATTTGTTCTTTGATCGACACGTCATGAGATTCATCGACTAATATTGAAAAATATTCATTGCTAAGATCCTTGATGATAGCATTGGTAGTTTTACTTACAGCATCATTGGCAATATCTTTTTGAATATTTTGATGACATAACTTGTTATTTTTTGGACTATTCTTCAACACAACTTCATTGACAAATTCATTGTGATCAGCTAGAAATTGTAAAAGTTCAAGGAAACGCTCAACCCTGCCACGAAAGAAACCTTACACAATCAATCGATGCATTCAGACGAGTTTGATATTTAATCCTTGCTTGTTTAGATTGCTTAAAAAACACTTTCAATGTGTTGCTTTTGTTTCATAAGAACCTCACACTTCTTCACAACTTGATTATGAGCACTATTAAGACTCCCAACATGAATTCGTAGCCTTTCTTTCTTGTTCCAAGTTGTGAACCCTCCTACTATAAAAGTGTCACCACCCGATTATTTACCGATATTAGGTCTAAATAGATAACAACTTATGCAAAATACATCCTTTTCTATGCTATATTCCAACAAATTATTGTTTTCTTTAAACCAAGCAGGATCAAACTGACGCATGACTCCACTAATGTCACTTTGAGAAAAATTGTGGTCAAGAGGTTGACAAGGACCCTTTTGTAAATATGCTCTTCTGATTTCATCCTGATTGTTAGGATGATAAGATGAAATTTTTTGTCGTAGCCCCGGGTCAGATGGAAGATTGTTCACATCTACATGACTTTGCTTAGAAGAAGTTTCTTGTGTAAGAGATGAATCTTCTACTATTGTTGATTTTCTTTTAAGAAATTTGTCCATAGCAGTAGAACCAATTGGAAAAAAAAAAAAAAAGAAAAGAAAAACATTGTACATAAAACCACACCAAGTCAACCACTCATAAATTAATTACAGTGCAATGTAACATCTCTAACAAAACATACACAAGAATTGAAGCATTATATGCATAATAATACATTTACAAATTACAAACAATTAGTGATCCAAAAAAAAAAAACAAAACTAAAGAAAAAAAAGGCCCTAATTTTTAGCCCCAAACATAAGGGGAAAATTAAACAGTATTGATGTTTTAACAAAACATATACAAACAAAATATACATAATACATTTACAAACAAGACAATTATTGAACCAAAAAAAAAAGCCCTAATTTTTATCCCAAAAATTGTTGATTTATATTTATTCTATCCAAAACACTATAAAATAGAAAAATGACTATACAAGATTTACCTAATAACTGAGTAGTTGATGTCGTTGGAGATGATTGATGATGAAAAGAGAGAGCTATGGATGGAGAGTGATGAATGAGAGAGAGCTTGGAGTGTCTCTATCTAAGTCATCTCTCGCCTGAAGCTTGAAAAGAGATGGCAAGAATAGTCTAGTGTCCAAAGCAAGATACAAACTATCACTTTACAAATAAAATATTTTAAACAAAAAGTTAACAAAAGAAAGAGATAGTTTTACAAATAAAATATTTTAAACAAAAAGTAGGCAAAAGTCAAAAAGTAAGCTTTTTTTATTAGTGGGTTCAAAGTTTTGGGACTGAAAGCTATGAGTTCAAAGTTGTATTTTAGTGGGTTTAGTTGCAGATTTTTTCCCCTAAAATCTAATACTTATATAATAATAATAAAAAAATCAACCAGGAGGTTCGGGCGACACCCCTGGCCATGTGTTGGAGCTGCTCCTAGACACTGTAGACACCCCATTTTTGACCAACCTTAAGACTCAGACGTCATCGTTTGTGCGTGCGATGATTGTGCACGTTTGTGCTCGTTTTGAGCACCCGAAAGTCTTGGCTGAGTGCCTTGTCTTTGAACCTATAAACACTTTGTGTTTTGGCCTTGTTTTTGGGCCAACCCTTGATGCCTCTTGCCTAGAAGGGGGGAAGGGCTTTGCCGGACACTTTTGTTTCTTGTCGGTCACTTTTATCCTTTGTAGGCCACTTGAATCCCTTGTAGGCCACTTGAAGTGGTTGGTCGGCTAGGGGAGGTGGCCGGCTATCCACCTGAAGTGGCCGACGGCCAAAATTCTTATTTTTCAGATATTTTTAGATCTTTTGAGCCAGTTGGTGAGCACTGAATGCATCTATGGAGGGATTGAGACCAAGCTTTTGGCTTGACCCTTTATATAAGGGGAGGTCCCTCCCCCTTCTTGAGGGTTCAGAAATTTTGGAAGCAAAATTTTACTCTCTCTCTAGATTTCTCTCTCTCTCTCTCTCTCTATATATATATGTATATATATTGTACTTGAAAGTGAGCTTTCTCTACAATTTTGCAAAGGGACTCTTGATCAAATATCCCTATCTTGGAGATGAGGTTCCTTAAGGCTTGTTTGAAGTTCCTAAAGTTGGTTTTGGCTTAGAAATTGTGCTGTTAGTTGCTGTGCTTCAAGGGTAAGGCATTACTCTCTTTAAAGCTTTGTCATAGTTACTTGCTTAGTCACCTTTGGATGCTGTTTTTAGGCAAGTTTTCAACTAAAAAAACCTTTCTTTTTAAGGTTAAAAAATGGTGGTTTAAGGCCCTTTTGGAGTTGGGGGTAGTCTACCCTCTTTGGTGGCTTGTTTGCGAAGAATTGTGATACTTTTAAAGCTTTTCAAACAACCACTTTTTGGCCTTTTAACCATTGAAATCCAGGGGATTTTCAGTGGTAAAAATTTGGTTTTGAGGTCCAAAATAGGAGGGAGTGGCCTTCCCTCCTTGTGTTTTCTTTGCAAGTGTTGATGGCCTAACATTTGAGCATGTTTTTCTACCTTCTCATGGCTTGATCTCAGCATGTTTTTGTGACTTTTTTGACCTGATTTAACTCCATTTTTGGCTGGTTGTGTCACTTGTTGCTTGTTTCTTACACTTGTAGTGTAACCATGCTTCCTAGCTTAATATGCCTAATGAGTTAGCCTATCATTTCAGCTTATGTTAGCGCTATCTCAGCATGCTTTTGCTCATGTTTTGACATGCTTTAACTTTGTTTTGAGTGGTTTTGGTCATATGGCTCATGCTTTGTATAGCTGTAGTGTAAATGGCCTTGGCTAGTTTTGAGTTTTAAGGCCTTTAACATATTGTGCATGTGATGATTGCATGTTTTGGAATCATTTAGCATGTAATTTTAGTGCATATAGTATAGTCACACTCTCACATATTTCACTCTTTCATAGCTTTTGAGAGTTGTGCTTTACGCCTTGTTTATGAGCCAATACATGAGCATGATTTTCTTACTTTTCATGCTACCATCTCACTATATTTTAGCCTTTGTTTTGACATGTTTGAGGTCTATCCAGAGTTGGTTTGGTCCTTTGAGTTTGATATTGCATGCCTCTAGTGTAATGCTCTTCACTAGTCTTGATGATTATGGCTTTTGAACATGTCTTGTTTGCATGATTTAGTGTCTTTAGCATGCCATTTCAGCACTGAAAAGCCTGCTACCTCCCCCCTCTTTTTCACTTTTCAATTTGCTTTGAAAGTGGACTTCAGCCCTTGTTGACTTGAGTGTGAATTTGAGGTTCTCATGCCTAATGGCTTTAATCCTCTCTTGAGGGTTTCTACTAGTCAACAGCATGAGACCTATTTCATGCTCAAGGCACTTATGGCTTAAGCCATCTTTCCCATTAGAGGACTTTCACATTTGGACAAATCAATTAAAGAATGGTTTGGTAACTTAAAGGGTGTAAATAAGAATTGAGCAAAGTAAAACATGAACAAGATAAGCATTTGCATCGCATTGCATGTGTTTGGATTAGACGTTAATCCAAACACAAGAAATGTGAGACGTTTCATACTCAAAGTGATGAAACGTATCGCGTTTCTTGGTCGTCATCACCCTTGATCATGAATGATAGGGGGATGGTCATTTGAGTCTTATGTGCGCATTCACTAAGCTTGTACAAGCTTGGTTCTTTGGCCATCATGCATGAAAATGCTTGATTGGTGGCTTGAGAACCAAGTGTCACACTCCTTTGAGCTTGAGACATGATAAGGAGGGTGACAGTACACATATTCCTTGAAGAATACATTGTTGTGCCTCTGTTATTCTCTATTGCAGCAAAACTAGCAGCCTGGAAAAGCAGGTGGCCGGCCGGCCACTTGAGGTAGCCGACCGACCACTCTCACTAGCCGGCCGGCCAGTTGAGATAGTCGGCAGTCACTTTTTGTGGCCGATCGGCCACCAGTCCAATTTTTGTGCAAAATGTTCCTATTTTGAAACAAAAGTAGTCTGGAATATTGGTTCGATGTTCAGAGACCAAGGCGAGTGTAAACAGAGGCAACTGGTGGCAAGGCGATAGATTTTCGGGGAGACGCAACCGAGCATGCATGTCTCCCTCACCTGCGAGGTTACTTTATCGCTTTATTAGCTAGTTGTAGCTTTATTACATGCGTTGTAATTTAATTGGTTTATTCTGTTTTGTAATATTTTAATTAGCTTAGCATAGCTAGTTATTTATTTGTGATGTAATAATTAATTAGCTTAGAATAGTTAATTAGTTTGTTTGTAATAATTAGCTTAGCTTAGTATAGCTTAGCTTATTTATTCGGACCCTCCTTCGAGAGGGCACAATATTGTAATAAGGGTGCGTATGTGTGTGCATGTCTGCCAACCCCACTTCTTTCTCCCTTTTACTTTACTGCTTTCGATGGTTAGATTAGGGCACATTTTCAATTAGCATACCTTATGCTTGCATGTTTGCATCATTCATTTGTCTTGTATGCATCGAGGCTCGGCGCATCATTCAAACTGCATTGTATTTTAATACACTTATTTGAATACGTGTTTAAAAGCATGTATCGAATTGTTGCAAATCATATACCATGTTTAGGTAGTCGAGCCTATTTAGTTGCATTATTGCATGTGTTGCATTAGGCATCTTGTATAGTTAAGAATCATGCATTTTTCTAACTTTGTTTTCTTTTGGCTCAGAGTACACTGTGAGTCTTTACGATTTAGCATACTTGCATACGTGTGAGTGTTGCCATAATAGCAGGCTTGCCATGAGGCTATTTGCTTAAGTGCTTAATTGCATGAATGCTTGTGGATGAAAGCTTTGTTACTTGAATTGGAACAATTAATCAAATGTGAGTTTTAGGCCAACTTTACAAAGTGGCAAATCATCATGTTTTAAGCCCACTTGAGGGTGGCAAATCCGCGCTTTAGCCCACTTGCGAGTAACACTTTCAAACCATTTTCGAAAGCAAACATGAGTTGTTTCATTCCAATTCTCGCGATTTAGTCTATACTTGTATGTTGTGCGCATCACATTGTAAGTTAGCTAATAACCGGATAAGAACACATGAGGTTTCTAAAACAACATATCTTGTTAGTAGAAGCCGATCTTTTGATCTGGCGGGCGGGGGTGCTCATTTCATGACCTTCCGCCTCGAACCCAAGTTCTCCAGCCGACGCAACTTTGGTGATGACAAATACGTAGCCTTTGGCACAAGTTAAGGTTTCCTAAATTTCCCAAAAATAAAATATTTAGGTGGTGACTCTGTAATCTGGCAAAACAGTCCAGTTTGGCATTAGTTGATTTAAAATCTAATTTTTCAAAATGATTTGCCGGATTGGACTCTTTGGTGTTTATCAGTCTCGCATTGCACTTTGTGAGATTAGATTTAGAACCGTGACAGGAGTCCGAACTGTAGGAGACCAATTCGCGCCTCTCCAAAATGGGGGGCATGCGAAGGAAGTCAAGTCTACAGTTTCTGGCGACTCTGCTGGGGATCTAGAGAACTTGACTCGAACTCATGATATGTTATTTTATTTACACTTATGTGTTTCTTTGCATTACATTTGCATTGGTGCGCCTAAGTCACA